TAAGCAACACTTTCTTTGAAGAATTTACTGCACGACATTTGTAACTCGTCTGTCAGGAGCCTTGCACAGGTCGAAGTCTTGGACAGTGTCAATATTTTGTACTTAGAAAATACATGGGGAGGAGGGGGGGCGCGGGGGGAAGTGGACGTTGTACAGGAGATAGTCATAGACAGGTTGGTTTCAGAGCAGGTTTGACTGTATATTTAGAAACAGAGGCTTTGCTTTTGTCATCTCTGTCAAGAGTTGTTATGGTCATATGTCATCTTTTGACACATATTTAAAAAAAAAGATTTTTCAAAATGGATTGAATATCTTTGTATTAAAAATGTATTTATCATTTTAAAACAATAATTTTTAAAAGTGAAAATATGAAGTGTGAACTGGAAAAAAAACCTTGTTTGAAATGTCTTTTTTCAGTGATGATATCCATCGGTATGATTTTTTGAAACTTGAACATTGTAATGAAGTTGGTTATGAATTTGAAGTGTCGATGCATTTTTGAAGTTTGGTATCAAGAATAAGCTGGAACCTTCTTTCTCTTTCTTGAATGTTTCTTCCAAATTTGAAGAAAACCAGTGTCTCATCTTCAAAAGTATGCTTTACTGTTTTTACTGCAACAATTCAAGTAAGATTAAATTAAAAAATCCCTCCAATGACAACAAAAAAAACCCCAACCCCCAAAAACCTTTATGCTTTTTAGCAGTGTTTTAAGAGAGAGAACTACTATATATTTTGGTTTACATGTACAATGTACTTTGTATAAGAACAATTACACGTACTGTGAACTTGTCGGATGTATTTCAAAGTCAATGATCCTAGAGAGAGGAACAAACCTAAGGTACTGTATACATGTACTTTGGTCAACTCAACTGTGGATTAGGACAATTGCATGTACTGTGAACTCGCAGGATGAAAATCAAAGATAATGATCCTTGACAGAGAAATTAACTCAATTGACTGTATTCGAGTACTTTGATTTATTTTGTATTAGATATTCCATCTGGATGGTGGCATTGATAGCCTAGTGGTTAGGTAACAATTGTGTGGTTGCGGGATCAGGAGTTCGAGCCTCAGCTCGGTCTGACGTTTGTCCTTTGGAAAGGCACTTTACCTCGATTTCTCGTTTGGTCCTTCCGGAGATGGACGTTAAATTCGGAGGTCCCGCCTCTTAAATAACCTTACAGTATTGCCCGGGGCGTTAAACCTATACAATTTCACATTTTCCACCTGTGTGCCAAATTTGGTGCTTCTTGATCTTGCCTCCTTAAAGTGCACAATTCCAATATTTCTTTACGCCCAACTTTTAGATTTTTATATTGCTTTCATTTGCACATCTTAAACCCGCCCCAACTATTATACCATCTTCCTTTTTTGACAGAATACCCACAAATAATTACTTTTAGATAACAAAAGATTATATAAATAGGTAGCTGTAGAACGTAGGATTTCTCACCGTTCAAAGTGGGTCCACTGGGAATACTGTAGCTGTTCAGTTTAAACATTGGTTGTTTTTCCCTTTTTCATATTGAAGATTCAGTGACTTCACGCCTCACTATCCTTCGATAAAAAGAGGATGGTACCATTTTAATGTGAACGTGAAGTGACTTTTGTTGCCTGTATTTGGTTATTGTTTAGTTCTATCTATTGTTTTGCTTAATGTTGTAAATTTTCCTTTGGGGATCAGGGCTTTAATGATTAGGGTTTTTGTGATATGTATATAATTTTACCTTGTCAGAAATAGTGATTGCATTTTGACATAATTGTTTCTGAAGACTTTGGCTAATATGAAAGACAAAAGTTGAGTGGCATAGTTCAGCCTTTGGATAAGTATCTTTTTGATATATTTTCCATGAAACAATTACATGTACCCATTAATACTCATGAGAGTAATAACTTTAAAATTTGCCGATATGACACGATCACCTTTCTCACTCAAAACACATTTTTAGCGATTTTGTAGATCTCGTGACATTTTAAAGCGTTATATGTTCTTTAAATGAGAGGCATGACTTTGAAATAGGATATTATGAAAGAAAACGATGGATAGCCTGATTAAATAGGCTAAAAGAAATGCTGGAATAGTTGGGTTTTTTTAATTAAGGAAGTTAGGCATCAGGATATCGCAAAAGAAAGCTTTGCGTTGAACTTTGTAAAATACCTAGACCCATTTTTTCCGTTAAACTGAAACCATAGCTCACAAGTTTTACCTTCTCCTTTCAAATGTTTTCTACATTATTTGAAGGAATCTGCTCAGCCACAAAGCTGATATGTTATAAGACAGGTTTTTTTGTTCAGTTATTTTACCCTTTGATTATGCCAAGTCTAAAAAAATTTTCTTCCCATGGGCATGGCCTTTATTTTCTTCACTTTCCTCTTTACCTTCTTCTCTTCTGTGCAGTTTGTTTTCTTTTAAGAACGTTTGGAAATCACAAAATTTAATATGCCATAGTATATTTTCTCTCTCTATGAACTTGACAATTGCAAAAATCCATGACAGTATATTTTCTTTAAAAAAGATAAAAACTGTGAAGATCAATAATATTTATACATGTACGTATTCTAATTTTTCTACACATATTTTACTTAAGAAATTACTTATGTACAAATTATGTTGACGCTGAAACGTATCCTATCTAATGATGCTGCCTACACCTACTTTCTGGGAAATGGAGTCTCCTGTGCTAATGCAGAAAAAATTGTATGAATTTCTGAAATGTATGTCCAAACCAGTTTTTTATTGTTATCGATTGGCTTTTTCCTTTTCATCTGCTTGATTTCTAAACATCTTGAGTCCAATGTAGATTTGGACAGTTCTGTTGGGTAGGTATAATGAAAAAAGAAATGGAGCTGGGATCCGAGGTCTGCTGTGTAGTGGTTAGGCACTTTGCCATTTCATGCAGGAGACCTGAGTTTGATTCCCCCGTGGGAAGAACTTTTATGGAGTACTTCAGTCTTTGTGTTGGGATGTTGTGTCCCTCTCAGCCAGCGTTGGCTCTGATAAGCAGGGTTGAAGCCCGCCTTCTAAATAGTTGTGTTGATGGGGGCGTAGGCTACCTGCTTTAAGAAAAGAAAAAGCTGGGATGCACCATATTACTGTGCCTTGGTTGGCCTGACAGACAAGGTTGTGCTGTTGAGGCTAGTGAGGTGAGCAGAGTGGGCCTGATTCCTCGCTTGGACTTCTCTGTTGACATCCACCCCTTGGAACTCAAATATGACCTTATGGTTGAACTGTCTCTCCTCTTAAACGATTTGAACAATTTCGATGGAGGCTGACACCATTAACCGTTAAAACTACATGTTGTCAGTGGAGAGCTTCGTCAATACTCTTTATTGAACTCTTGTTCATAGAGGCATTGTATAGATTTCTAAATCTGGGTGCTTATCCCGCAGCAATTTTCAACGTCTCTCTTTGGCTGGTTACTTATGTATGACTGGTCTCTGTGTGTAGCGTTAAGGGGCTTTGCTTCACATACAGAAAATGTGAGTTCGCATCTCGCATGGGTAGAATTTTTATTGAGTATCTGCTCCTTATTTCTCCTGGGACATTGTATCTCTCTCAGCCTGGGTTGGCCCTGACAGGCAGAGTTGTAGCAGCCCACCTTGTAAATGATTTAAATTGCATCAGTGAGGGCATGAAATACCTATTCTTAAAAAAAAAAACCCAGGAAAAAATTAAGTAAGATTCTTTTAAATTGATGGTTTATTGTGCCATATTTTAACCTTTTCTTTCTTGGATGACTATTGAAAATTTCCCGATTAGCCTTACAGTGTGTTATGTTTCTCCTATTTTTGATCCCTGTAACTCGGATTTTTTTGCATTCCTTTTTGCCTTGAGACCTGGTTTTGTTTCTGAATTATATTTTTGTGGATTTGAAGTTTTGAAAAGCCATTCAGGATTATATAGATTAAAAGCTTCTAGAGAGGGAACTTCCTCATATGTAAATGAGCTGTTCTCAAAAGGGGAGACAGCTGGAGTGCCTGTTTCCCCCCTTTTGTTGACAAACAATGCAAATGCAAAATTTGAATGAAACCAGGCTTTTCCAATTAAGAAATGAAAAAAAACCCCTTACTAATCAAGTGGAGTCCACAGCTTTACGAAATAAGTTAAATGGGTTCTGGAAAGCCCAGTTATTGACTTTTTGAAGATTCACGAAGCTGCAAAGTCTTCAAGCCAACCTTTGGATGGATTTTTCAGTTCCACTTCTTTAAGTCAACCTTTTGAGAATGGTTTAAGTGCGTTCTCCACTTTTACATTTGATTGATTTATGAATGTGTAGAAGTTGAACCACCTTCCTCCCAGTACCAACTCTCCATAATACTGCGCTGTAAAGAATTCTGGCTTTTGTTTTTAGTAGTTTTGTTTAATTTACCAGTTTTCAGATACACGAGAAAACTCATTTTGAGGCAACCCCCCCCCCC